GATGAAGGTTTCCCGGCTGCAGATGAAGGTTTCCCGGCTGCAGATGAAGGTTTCCCGGCTGCAGATGAAGGTTTCCCGGCTGCAGATGAAGGTTTCCCGGCTATAGATGAAGGTTTCCGGGCTGTAGATGAAGGTTTCCCGGCTGTGGATGAAGGTTTCCCGGGCTATAGATGAAGGTTTCCCGGCTGTAGATGAAGGTTTCCCGGCTGTGGATGAAGGTTTCCCGGCTGTGGATGAAGGTTTCCCGGCAGCAGATGAAGGTTTCCCGGCAGCAGATGTCAGTTTTCCGGGCTGCTGTGGCTCGCGGGGCCGTAGTTAGCTTCAGCTAACTGCTAGCCGCCGCAGTGTTCGCGCCAGTCGGGACTCCGCTAACGGCTGCTGACACCGCCAGACTTTAGGCTTGTAGCCACAGGATCCATACAGTATTCCTCCTCTTCCGGTCCGCTCCGTTTATAAACCGGTAACCGTTAAAATGTACAAAACGACCAGCCTGAATCACGTAAAAACGGACCAGCAGGCTCAGCTGTTGTTATGCATCCGGGTCACAGAAGTTGGACTCGACTCATACTTCCGGCGGCCGGCAGCCGATTCTTTTATTCTGAAGTTTCCCGGAAGTGCCGCGCCGCCCCTCGCTAATGAAGCTAACATGGTGGACTCTGTTCTCTCCTGGAGGGAAGCTCCTCGGTGGGATTCTGCGGAAGATGCTCAAGAACCGGAAGCTCTTGGTAAGTTTAATACAACTGGACTTTGTTTTAAGGACGGTGACAGGTTACGGGCCCGAACCGAGCTCGGTTCTGATGAAACGGACGGTGGCGGCGGTGTGTTTGATTAGTTTCTGCCCGGAGTTGAGCTCTTGAGTCGGCTGTTAGCCCGCTGCTATCACCGGGGAGAGGTCGGTACCGGCAGTAGGACGGGTGGTTCTGGTAGTTGACGGGGCGGGAAGGTTCTGTTCGTGGTTCGTTTTTACACTTGGTTCTGTTTTGTCTCGTTGAAACGGGCTGAGGTTCCCCTCGGTTGATGGGGCTAACGAGCTAGCCGATGCTAACAGGATTTAAGGTCTGTGTGTGAAGATGCTGCAGGTTTCAGGTTACATCCTGCTCAGTTTACCTGAGGCCCCGCCCCCATCAGGTGAGCCAGGTGTTTCTGTTCAGATCGTGTTACACTGTGGGATTCTACAGTAAGCAGTAGTTTGTGTTTATAACAGCAGAATTACAGACTATTAAAATAAAACCTAACCCTGACGTCATAGACTTAAAAATACCCTGAATGGAGTTCTGTATAAATTTACTTTTCTATGTCATGACATATTATCACAAGCTGAAATAAAACCACTTATTTAACAAAGTCTCTACAGTAAATAATTAAATAAAAGCGTAAAGAAGTTTGTGTATTTCTGTGTTTTCCCACAGGTGGTTGAATCATTTAAATTCCATCAACAGCTGTGTTTGATGTTTTACACAAACCACTCATTAACTAACAAACCTCTGATGAACCCTGTGTGAGGCAGAGACTGGCTCAGGTCGATGATGTCATTTCCTGTGGATCAGAACTCTCTGTCCTGGACCGGTCCAAACCTAACTTTACCTGATGTTTCCACAGAATCCAGGCAGGAACAGGTGTGGAGAACCTGAAGGGAATAAATTCTGTTAATGGAGAAAATTACAAACAGTAAATGATAAAGATCAAAGCCATGATCTATTTTTATTCAGTGTCATAGTACCGTGTGATACAGGTGATTTAATACAGGTGATTTAATACAGGTGTTTTAATACGGGTGATTTAATACAGATGATTTAATACAGGTGATTTAATACAGGTGTTTTAATACAGGTGTTTTAATACAGGTGTTATAATACAGGTGATTTAATACAGATGATTTAATACAGGTGATTTAATACAGGTGTTTTAATACAGGTGTTTTAATACAGGTGTTTTAATACAGGTGTTTTAATACAGGTGATTTAATACAGGTGATTTAATACAGGTGATTTAATACAGGTGTTTTAATACAGGTGTTTTAATACAGGTGTTTTAATACAGGTGATTTAATACAGGTGTTTTAATACAGGTGATTAAATACAGGTGATTAAATACAGGTGATTAAATACAGGTGATTAAATACAGGTGATTAAATACAGGTGTTTTAATACAGGTGTTTTAATACAGGTGTTTTAATACAGGTGTTTTAAAACAGGTGTTTTAAAACAGGTGTTTTAATACAGATGATTTAATACAGGTGACA